CCATAATCCATATGGAATTTATATTGTTACAAAACATTCATAATTCTTTTGTAGGCGATACTGGAGGAGAATACAGACAAAAAACGAAGTCATATTGAAAAGCTTGAGACAACAATTAAGTCACTGTCAGCTGAACTTCTTAAGGTTTGTTGGAACTGCCATTCATTTGCTTTGTCTTGCACTTTCAGGAATTACTTTGAAAATACTCTTTTTTTGTAGGCTAATGAAATTATCAAGAAGTTGCAAGGAGATTTGAAAACCCTAATGAGTAAATTAAAATTGAAAAATACAGTAACAATTCAACAAGAGAAACTATTAGCAGAAAAAGAAGAGAGACTTCAGAAAGAACAGAGAGAACTGCAGGAGGCTGGACAATCTCTTCGAATGAAAGAGGAGGAGGTACTGCGATAGGTTAACCTGCATCCTGCACGTGTTACTGTACGTAGGGCAGCTGGTCGGTGTGTTTAAAACCCTTAAAATATTTGTTAACAGCAATGAGGCCTTAATTTTTTTTTTTTTACATAAGAATTTACTCTTATGCACTTAATGTTTAAGTGCATAATCAACATTTCATTTTTTTCATGTTAAACTGACTTGTGAGAGAGATTCATCCACATGCAAGAAAATTAAAATCCTATTGTTGGGGGTACAAAGCAACGTATCAAATGGACTGACAGGCTTCAGAAGGTATATTCATGGGAAAAGTTTGTGATGGAGGCCAGAACAGTAACAGAGTGAATTTCTCCCCTGCTTAGGGCCCATTCCTTATTTAAACATGGCAAAATGAAGGTCAGAAAGGTCTCTGGTTGCAGTCTTGTCCTAAGTCCAGCTAGAAACAGTTTATTTTAGAAGAGCTATCATACTGATTCTGCATAAAATTGAGTTCTAACTTCTTTAAGTAACTCTAGAACTTCCCTTATCCTTTTCTTCTTATTTATATGATAATTTTTCTCGAGTTTTTAATGAGTACTACACTTATTGATGGTTTTATAATTAGCATGGTGATATTGCAGGTTTGCAAGTTACAAGAACAGCTGGAAACTACAATACAGAAACTGGAAGAAAGTAAGCAGTTATTGAAAACCAATGAAAACGGTATGTTGATAGTATTTTATCTGTGAAATGATATGATGATTAAGCTGCTACCGACAAGTAATGGAAGGCGACTTTCCTGAGATGTCTGCTTGCTTTGTTGTGAAGAGTCGCACTTCCCTCACACTGTTGCTTTTCTGTGAGGAAGGGCTTGACCTTTTTTCCATCTCTTCAGTAATCACGTGGCTAAACAAACAGCTGAATGAAGTTCAGATGGTGAAGAAGATGGAGACTCCCAGCAGCACGCACGGTGGCGCTAGGACTGCCCTGTCACCTCACAGCATGGTAAGATACGAGTGCGGATAACACTCCTCATTTCTTCAAATGCATGGCCTAGAAAAAGCCTTTTTTCTTCTAATCCGCTATTGGCAGTTTGTTTTGCTATGACAGCAATGGTCCCTTGAGTGCTTGCAGAGATGCTGGCCTGAGGGGTTGTTTTTGAAGCTCTTACTTCTTACAATTCATCTAGCAATGCTACAGCTAGCTTTGAGAATGTAAAGCGTGGGATGAAAACAGAACAAATCCTCAGTGTTTGTGTTGTGCATGCTTTGAAATCCATACAAAAATCATTAGTGAATTTTAGGTTTGGATTATTTTGGATTGGATTATTAGGGAGATTTACAAATGTGAAAATACAAAATTAAAAAAAAACCCACCTCAGTCTATTTTTGTTAAGAACAAAGATAGCTTAATGCTTCCTGTACTGTTTTGTCCCTGTGTGTACGATGTCTGTCTGTTAGCAACTAATGAGTTTCTTAGTAATGGAAGGGTATAGTCAAGCAAAGTCTGACTTACAGATACATGCCTTCTAATTGGTTAATATATTAAATATGACTTCTTTTAGCATAAGCTAAAATAGCAGCATAAGTTAAAATAGTAAATATATTACAAGTTTAAAAAGCTACCGTTTTCCTTAAGAACAGACTCTTGGAAAAGGTTTGTTTTCCCTCTCATTAGAAAGACTAACCTGGTTTAAGTGTTAACTTTGCAGATGTGGCTACTGTTCAGCAAATGCATTCCAGTCATTGTTCTTCTCCTTTACAGATGTATTCTTCTTCTCTTACTAATGCATTCTTTCTCCACAGCTTGACCGACCTTCCTTTCCCAGCTCAGGAATCACTCATCCCATTTCTCCCTTCTACGCCTTCCAGAAGCTGGCAGAACCAGCGCGTAACAAAAACACCAGCCCCCACTGCCCAGTCCCAAAGGTAGGCATTTGGGCTTGTCTGTCTGACTTAGAATGTCATAGCTTAAAAGCATCAAAGCTGCTGCTTCTGAATCGTTCTCAGAATGCATTAATACTTACTGTATATCCCAGCCCTGCTTAATAGGGGACAGTATGATTACTAGTCAGCATGCTTTTCTGTCCTTCAGTGCTGTTCAAGGTAAGGAGAACTGAATCCTCAGAAAGCCTTCTCTGAATACCAGCTGCTGCTGCACCATCGTGTCTGGAGTAGCTCTACGTAACCTGCAATTCCTTTGTTTCTGCAGATTCAATTTAACTCACAGGTCTCAAAAATAGATCAGCATTCAGATGTTCAGGCAGTGACTGCAGCAACTGGCCATCCAGCAAATAAGGAAAAGTAAGTATCATCCATTACATTTCTAGCTGCTTTTTCCCTCTTTTATAACGCCCTTTGTCTTGTGTGGGTATCTGGAATTGTAAAAACACTTCCAATACCAAGCTCTTTCTTTGAGCTGCTTTTTGTCACTCCCATGTTTATGAATTCGAGTTGTAGTCAACTTACTGCTCACTAAGCTTGGTTCATACACAACAAACGAAGACTTGCTTTACAGGAGGAGGTCCTGCATCAGTCTGTCCCTTCTGGTGACAAGCCTGTGGCTACCAGCTGATAGTCAGACCACTAGCTGCAGATGGTTCTCATTTGCTCAGTCATAGTTAACAGCTGAATGATAAAGTTCATCAAAACTCTAGTTCTACTTCAGTTTTTTGTTGAATGAGCCTCTATCCACCAGTGCTGCACATTTGCTGTTAACTACGTTTTGTTTTATTTCAGTGGCAATAACTTGGGGCTGGAATCCAAGTATTTCAAGAAAAAAGAAGACAGCATTCCTTTACGAGGGCTTAGTCAAAACACACTTAACTCAGGTATGTTCGGAAATAGTTAATATATAGTAATATAATATATTATATATATATATATATAATATAATATATAATATAATATATAGTAATATAATAAATAGTTAAACAAGACCTTATTTGAGATACTATTGTTACTGTCGTGTTTCTGCTCTTCTACAGAGTACTTGAAACCCTACTTACCCAAAGTCCAGCCATCGCCACCAGCCGCAGTGACAACAGCCTCAGCTTATTTTCCAGGATAGTAGCCAGGGATATTAAGAATTGTCTTTTAACTGTTTGGGGGATATGAAGATGTCCTACACTGACATTAGTAAAGGTATCAGGGTGAACTGACAGTTTTATCTGAATCCATTTTCTTTGAGAAACACACCTTATTTGGATGCCTTTTCAGCTGATTCAGAAAAGACAGAGCTTTAAGCAGCCTCAACCTTAATGGTAACACCACTGCACTTCAGTCACTGAATTAAGTGCTGGATTTTTTCCTGGCCTGTAGTCTTCCAGAAAACCCAAGTAAGTGGCACTGGCTTTTTTTGCTATAGTATTTAACAAGTGTGATTCTAACCAAGTGTATTCTCTGGTATTCCCTGATAGGAAACATGATTCCTTATAAGTTTTCCTCTAGGTCTTTCAAAGAAATGATGTTGCAGATAGTTTTCCAGCACTTTCTGGGCTATGTTTATTTTAATAACAGCCAAGCTTGTGAGTTAGCACAACCCCTTCTTCTCTAACAGTTTTAATTTTGAAACATTGCTAATTTGAATTGCATATAAATTTATAAATACTGCAATGGAAGATCCTAATTGATTTATACCTTCAGTGAAAACAAAGGTTTAAGGATCTCAGCCTGGGTTGCCCTAACTTCTTACCCATCTGTCACTATTACACTTCTAACAACCAAGCATTAAATACTGTAAGCCAATGTATCTGAACAGATGAACTAAAGCTGTCTTGTATTTACTGATCCTACTTGACAAACGTAATATTGCACAGAAATCTACTTAAAATATCCTGACATTCAAATTGCAATGGACTAAACCTATTCAGCACATTCTACTATCCAGGTTCAAATGCTAGAATCGTGTAACTATATTTCATTCTTAAATATGGCAGGCAAGTACTTGGAACACCCAAAATACACTTTTATTGCAGAGCCTGTCTACATACTTCTGTTTTTAAAGATACTTCATACCTTCGATATTTAACTGCAGCTGAGGACCGTATATTTAAGTGATTTGTTTTGCAGTGCAAAATGTGTATATTTGTTTACAATCAGCACCATGTTTACTTGCATCCATTTGTTTTGAAATGTACAAGCTTCTCTAGAAATATTAAACGCTTATCAAAAACTCTTACAACATTACTTTTCAGAGTACTGAGTTACCATTTCCAGTACTGGGTGAGGCGACGCTTTACTCACCTTTCTGTACTGCTGCAGTACCGGCCCAGCGCTGCGCTGCACGTAGGGTCCCCGTTTGGCAGCCACCCATTTCTGAGGTGTTGTGTGCTCACACTGCTTGTTCTAGGTCAGCGTTAGTGGGTATAACAAGACTTCAAAGGATGTGAAAAGATGAACTGCAGTGCACTGAATGTGAACTGCCTCCATAAGCACCTATATTGATGTAGATCATATCCATGAGAGTGCTGAGGAACTGAGGGCTGCAGCCAGATGGTGCTGCTAACCAGAACAGGAAATAGCCGTAGCTAACAAATAGGAACGCTCCAGGCTTTTCTCAGACCTACTGAATAACAAATATGCTGTATGACTTCAAGGTTGCAAATGACATGAACTATTATTTAAAAATTCATTAAAATATTCAGCTTTATTAACAGTATATTTACATATTTTTTCCTGCTCTTGGTCAACAATGGTGAATGTTCAAAGGTAAAAAAGCATTAAGCGATAACCACAAGATGAAAATGTTTTAAACCTATACAGTACTTTATACACAAATTTATACAAAGGAACACTTAAATAATACAACTGGACACAAAAATATACACTTTTAGAGAAATTCACATCTGTCATTGTATAAAGCTTTCTTCTGTACTAAGGGGTCCTGAAAATGTAGGACTAAAACATTAGCTCTGTAATGTAAAAGGGTTACTGTGATAGTCCTCAAAGGCCACTATAGAGAGCACACTGACGTATTCAAGGCTATCAGCTTATAGTTCAGTCTGTATTCAAGTTTTGAGGTCCTTGTATGATTACACAAACATCAGAAATATAGTGGTATAATAAACGGTATTTATGAAAGCAGAGTTTTAGAGCCCATATTAAAATCTGCAGGCTCAAAACACCCACCTAATATTTAAACAAAAGTTTGATACTACCATTTGTTCAAAAATAGAGTAAATGCACTTACATAAAAATAACTTTCACTGTTCAGCAAGCGTGCTTGTAGTTTTTATATTAGTACAAACTTTAAAAAAAAAACAAAAAAAAAAAACAACCAACAAATCCACCATATGACTTCTTCAAAATAAATGATACCAGTTCACCTTTTCCCTACTTGAGTACATTTACATTAAGGCTTTGAATCATCTGACCCAAGATTTTACAACATTAAAATGAATGGGTCCACACGGATGCTCGTATGTCTCACTGAGACTTAGCATGAGTGGAATTAAAGCTCACCACCTTAAGGAAACAGAAGGACACATGCTCAAACCTTGACTATATTCTTTTGTCTCCAAACTAGAATGTAAAGTTTAATAGTAACAGTATTTCATGGCAAGAGATAAGTACTTAACTTTTAAGAAAGAAAAAGCATATTATTGATGTAATGGCAACATCTTTGGAAGTTTTTTTTTTTTTAATTTCTATAAATTTCATGCAGAAAGATAATTCTGAAGATTACCTTAAGAAACTTTTTGATGGAAGTGGAATGTGTATCCCAAACCGCTGATGGAAAATGTCTAAAAAGTCTTCTAGGTTTTTTTTTTGTCATACATTTGTGTCTTGTAGTAATGGTTCTTTAGCTTCACCAGGAGCTTGTGGACTGTGGGGATGGCCATGACTGCCACAGTGTTTCTTCCAGTTGCTGGATCGTACAGTTAGGTTGGTGTGTTCAGGAATGAACAAGGCAACAAGCAGTGCCAGCAGCACAGAGCATGCCCCAAATAAGAATGGGGGTCCAGGAATTATAGAATTCTGGAAAAAAGCAAACAGCAACAACACAAGCTATTAAGGCTCTAGATGTGTTCATGTACTAAGATGGCTAAACTACACATTTTATAAGTGAAAGCAGCTTTTTTTTCTTGCTACGCTTGGCAAGATGACACTTGGCCTCCATGGGGAATCTTTTAGAAGAAAGCTGGACAGATTACATCTTAAATCTAAGAGAGGGAACGTGCCATTTACTGCTGCTGCTAACTTCCTGTCCTAGGGCACGTGAAAGAAAATAACAGTTGAGCAGTAGGAGATTTTCTGTGCTTTTGGGCATTTGCAGCTGGACATCAGCTTGTAGAGCATGCTCCTTGGGAGGCAGCAGGACAAGATTCAAGTCTAGCATCTTCTCCCTGCTGACCTGAACTCTTGCCTCTCCTCTCAAAGTGCCATTTGCCATCTAGAACAAAAACAGGTGGCAGTGCAGACAATGCAACTGTATGGAAGTAGTGCAGAACAAGTTCTGTGGCCTGAACAATGAGCATTTCCAGTCATTGGCTTTCACTGCCATCGAAAAACAGTCTTAAGAAACCACCATTAACAAAAAAGTACCAAAGAAAAAGGAAATGAGGCAGAGATTCTGCTCTAAAATTAACCAGTGAACCAGAGCTAGACAGCACTGAGTGTAACAGCTGGAAATAAGCATTGCCTTATCCTGCTGCAGCCAGTACAGACAGCTGCTCTTTTTTCTTATTATCAGTAAGGAAGTAAAAAACAGAAGGCTTGGCTAAAAGACTAAGGAACACCACAACTACAATGCACAACATGTGAAAAGTAAATATAGTGCTAGGGAACTGCACAGAAGACAAGAAAGCTGCTACTAATCAGTCTATTTTTTCCTTTTCTTTATAAGGTCTGTTGCCTATTGGATCTCTTTCAAAGAGAAATTAACCACGGTACCTATTTAAAAAAAATGCTCTGTGAGAGTGATTTTAGAAGCTGTTTTTACATGCTTCATTTCCATTCAGCGTGATGAAACGTAGCACAGCATCATACTCAAGAACTAATTCTGGTTTAGGAATCAGTAAGTAAAGGAATACCTGTTGTAAGTGGTATTGTGTGACGACAGTACCTCCTGATGGCGATTCAGGCATAGGGAGTTCATTCAGTTCAACATGAAATATGTAGAATATGAAGCCATACAGCGCAGGTCCCAAACCATTGCATAAGCCTCTAATTCCCGTTATCATCCCTTGAACAACGCCTGAGAACAACAACGTGTGCCGTCAGCTATTAATATCATACGTACATAAACAGTGATTTTAATTAAGCCTTTTAAGCCAATCCAAGTAGGAAAAGTGTCACTGGTGCTGTACCATGGGTAGCGTTAACAAGGGTACAGAAAAATGGTCCTATGATATATTCAAGGCTCTTTTTCCATGTCCCTGCAGGCCTAGAACAGTATTTCCTATGCCATGCCTATTCTGAGACCTTGTTATCAGACTCATAGCAAAGGAAGCACTGGACAACAAAGCTAACTTGCATAAAAGTAATGGAAATAAAGAGTGCATTAGTGTCACTAAGTATTTTTCTACTGTTGAGATTTTCTGAATGTTCTGCCTCTGGGACAGAAGGACTTAAAATGCACACACAGCTTTAACACAGCTTGGATTTTTGCAGTTTCTGAGCTAGGCTCAAGTGCATGGGCTACCATGGTAACAGGTGAGTCGCTAGATACATTCGGCTTCATGGATTTCTTTGACTGGAATTCAGAGGGTTAAGGAACACCTACCTTGTTGGTCAGCATCAGCAGTTCGTGACACCAGTGCACTTACAGCTGGGAAAGTAATACTGGACATGGCTGCAACAGCTCCTGCTGCCCACATCATCCTGCAGAAAATAGACTGAGGTAACTACTCCACAGGGACAGAGTCCTGCAGACAGAACATGTACCTATGTATTCGTGTATTCGTGCGTACATAGACAAAAGTGTCTCTCTTGGGTAAAGGATAAAATGCAGAAAAACATTAATTCAGATGTAAAAATGAAATGTACGTACCAAGGTTCGGACCCAAAGCCGTACCACGCAAGCTGTAGTATTTGAAATCCTAGACCCAGTAGGATGGTGTTTTTATTTCCAATGGACCGCATGAGCAAACTCAAAACTATTGTCTAACAGAGCAGGGAGAAACGTACAAGAAAACAAAAATAACATTTTATTCTGAACGTTAAATACATGCAAATAAATTAATGAATTAAAAAAGCAAAGTTCAAAAGCAGTATTTGCCAAGTAGGAGCCTTGCCTGTACCAAAAAAAATCATCAATTAGATGATTAGCAAGTAATATAAGCTCTCCTTTTTCTAAACAAAAGGATTTTGTTATCCCAACACAAAGCACCTTGCATATTAATGACCTGCACTCTTATCTGGCAAGCTGTTCATCTAAGTAAGTTAGTTAAAGTAGGAGTGTTATCAACTGTTAGAAGCTTAGAAGAACAGCTACAGAAAAGGTGAGTGAGATTTCTGGATCCAGAACATGGAAGCTCTCCATAGTGCTTAGCTCCTCCCAAGTCGCTCAGTGAAATACTCAGCAGTGACTCACCTGTGCAATAATGGAAAGAATTCCAAGGACTGCTATAAATGCTGCAACACTTTCAGATGAAAATCCCATTATCTAGATACATAAATAACAAACAATTTGACAATTGAATGTTAAGTGCATACCATGTCATCACACACATCAGTCTAAGAACAGTCAGTGCAGAAGTTACTCAACTCCAGGCTAACTTAAATTTTGTTTTTTCCACCAAGTAAAATATAAAAAACTAGCGAGGCACAAACAGAGAACCAGTGAGTGGTTCTGTCATCAATTAACAAAGCAGTCTGACAGAGTGAACTTCATAATCCAAGAATAACATAGTAACAAAATATGAGAAACTGAATGCATTTATTCCTCTGTATCTAAAAACAAAAGAAATCCTATCTGCAGGAGTACTTAACTGCTGCAAACTTTTAAATTATATTTGATATCTATGCTTTTTGTGTTGATTCAGCAGCACTGTAACCTGCTGGTAAATTTACTGCCATTCAAATCCGTATCAAAATGTTCGTTTACCTGTCTGAGGTACAGGAAGAAGCTGGAATATTGACCTGCCTCCGGGAGGTAGGAAAGAAAGACTGTGATGCAGATTAGCAGCACTATTGAGTCCTGGCCAACCTTCTTCAAGGACTGCAGCAGGAAAAAACGTGTTGGAAAATATTTAGTTGTCATATTCAGAAAAAGTACACCTGATAAAAGGTACTGAAAAACATGTCAGCTAAGACACCTAAACATTTTCTGAGCATTTAGCAAGATCGCTGGCAAAAGCGTCAGCAGAAGTGCAAGATTAAAGTATGAACTTTGCTGGTTTTTTTTTTTAAGCTTGAAACATAATAAATTCAATCACTGTTTTTTCTTAAAAGCTCAGCATTTTCAAATATGACATACTCCATTATTTCACAAACTTACTGCAAAAGGGTCAGCCTGTTCCCAGGAAATGGGCGCTCCCCAGGACGCCGGCCGCATCTTCTCCGGCAGCGACTCTGGTACAGCAACAAGAATAAAACAAATGTCTAACAAGGCTATCGCCGTGGCCAGGACTACAACCAAGCTGTCTCCATAGACCCGACCAAGGTAGGCACCGATGGCAGGGCTGGTAACTAAGCTTGCTGCAAAGGTTGCTGAAACCTGAAACAAAGAACAGTTGGTAAGGGTTTCAGTGATAACATTCAGAAGTGTTATTACTTACTTTCGCTGGCTTTCAGAAGCCTTCCCGTTTTTATCAGGTAGAGATTAAAGATAACTTTTTCTCTGGGTCTGTGCAGTGTGTATTTCTGACAAAATTTTTGAAGAAAAAGATTTTTTGGCTAACTGGACAGCAGTGTGAAGCTCATGGCACTCTCAAATGTCCCTCAATTCCTGACGCATACATACAAGAAGAAGCAATTTAGTTCCTTATCCCTCGCTTTCAGCTGTCCCTGCTGAGTATCATCAGATTCTGTAGCTTGAACACAAGAAATGATTCTGCTAATCCATAATATATAAGCCCATGAAGGCTCCCGAGATTTGCAGGTTACTGGGAGAAATGGAGGCGAGTCAAAAAGAACTCAAGACAGATGAGTTACCCGGCTGCATTTTTTTGAATGGAAATATGAATGGAGACAGCAGCAGCAGCAGCAGTCCCAATACAGCAGTGCCAGTTCCAAAATGATCCAAAATGATCCAAGAAAGATACTTACATTTTTTAAAAATGACAAGGTAGTTAATGCTAATGTGAGCTCCCAAATTACACTGTTAGCACTGATGATAACTCTCAGAAAGAGAGGCTTTAACACAGTCATATTATGTTTAAGGTAGAGTGGAATATTCAAAAGGAGCCACAGAACTGGGTGACTATAATTTAACCCTACTTCAGGCTGAAACCGACTTGCCAAAAAAGAATTGGAAATATCAGTTTTTAAAAGCTTTACTGACCGAAGTGTTAGTACTGAATAAAATACAAACGGAGCAAAAACCCAACCAAACAAAATAGCAACCATACCAAACCGTAGGCCATGCTTCTTTCATGTTCTTGGGTTATGTCTGCTACATACGCAAAAACCACAGAAAACGTCACAGCAAAAACTCCAGAGACAGATATAACAGCGAAGTACCACCTGAAAACATCGTAAAAACATCAGTAAATAATCAGAACAGCTAGCTAGGAGCAAAAAGTCTCGAAATCCAAGTACAGCTCAACAGTAACTGTCTTGTCCATCTTTTCCTGACAAATACTACAATGGACTTACAGCAGTTGTACAGTTTATACAGTTGGGCAATTTCTTTGTGCACCGACCATAAACAGCATAATTTTGTAACATGTACAAGAAGCTGCTGTGATTAAGTTCTTATAGGAAATGAAACGTTGATGCCAATAGCCAAAAGCAAGTCAAGAACTCGAGTATCTTGAGAACTTGGGCAGTAGATCTCAAAAACTAGCCCTATCTTTATGCTAGACACTATAGACACTAGTAGGATGTAATTAGAAACATTAAGCTACACTTTGAAACAAGCTGCCCCACAGAAGGGATGAAGTAGCCACGAAGAACGCGTGTGACCAGAGTAAGACTGAAAAGGGGATGGAGCTACCTGAATAGTTGCCTCTGCCCTGGGTCAGTGCAGTCTGTTATTGCAGCTACACCCTGAGGTACGGCACACGGGTGTCTCCAACACTGAGAATTCTGACTCATGCACTACCTGCAGAATGTATGTGCCAGTTAAGAGCTTACTAAATTTGCAGATGGTGTGAAAGCTGATGGATTTTAAAACTAGAGAAGCAAAACTATAAAACTGCAGTAACAGTTTACAAATGGTTATTTCACGCCTAAGTTTTTCTTTCTTGTAGTCGGTTAATTTCAAGATTAAGTGGCCACAGTAATGACCCATAGTAAGTAGTGGCTAAGCAGGGCAGCAGCTCACACAGGCTACTTCAGTTTGCAAAGTTGGGGGAACTGAGTCAGTCTCCTTCTGCGACTGGGTGACCCACCTGGCGATGAGGGCAGGGCTGTTCGCGTAGTCTGCCCAGACTGCACAAAGCCTTTGACACTGTCTGCCACAGTGCTCTCCTGGGGAAGCTTGCAGCTCATGACCTGGACAGATACACTCTGCTGTGTGAAGAACCAGCTGCAGGGCTGGGCCCAAAGCGTGGTGGTAAAAGGAGTTAAATCCAGCTGGTGCCCGGTCACAAGTGGTGGTGTCCCCAGGGGAACATATTGGGGCCCATCCTGTTTCTTAACTTTACTGATCATCTGGACAAGGGGATTGAGTGCACCCACAGCAGAAGTTTGCAGATGGCCAAGACAACCAAGTTAAGAGGAAGTGTTGATGTGCCTGGGGGGAGGAAGGCCCTACAGAGGGATCTGGACAGCGTGGATCACTGGGCTGAGGTCACAGCACTACAGGCTTGAGACACAGTGGCTGGAGGACTACAGAGAAAAAGGACCTGGGCATGTTGGTTAATGCTCAGCTGAATGTGAGCCAGCAGTGTGCCCAGGTGTAGTCAGCAGGAGCAGGGAGGTGATCGTCCCACTGTACTCAGCTCTGGTGAGGCCACACCTCGAATACTGTGATCAGTTTTGGGCCCCTCACTACAAGAAAGACACTGAGGATCTGGAGTGTGTTCAGAAGAAGAGCAACAAAGCTGGTGAGGGGTCTGGATCATAAATCTTATGGGGAACAGCTGAGGAAATTGGGATTGTTTAGCCTGGAGGAGGTTCAGGGACGACCTTATTGCTCTCTACAACTACCTGCAAGGAGGTTGTGACAAGGTGGAGGTCGGCCTTTTCTCCCAGGTAACTAGGTGATAGGATGAGAAGGAAAGGCCTCAAGTTGCACCAGGGGAGCTTCAGGTTGGACATTACAAAAACCTTATTCTCCAAAAGAGTAGAGTGAACTGGAATGAGCTGCCCAGGGAGGTGGCTGAGTCACTGCTCTGGATGTGTTCAAGAAATATGTAGATATGGTACTAAGGGCAACGTCAGTAGTAGGTGGACAATTCTATGATTTTATAATACAAGGAGCCCAAACAATATTTTAATCAACAATACTAGAAAAAAGCATTAGATAAGAACCTATACAAGGAACAAATAAAGTGTGAGAGAATTCACTAACCATGGGCTGATCTTCATTAGTGGTATTGGTGCACAGGTGAAAAACACTGTTAGCAGCAGGAAGGACTTTCGTCCCCACACGTCAGACAGGGCACCTATGAGTGGGGCACTGAGGAATGATAATAAGCCCTAAGTGAAACAAAACATTTCAGTTAGAACTGAGCGCTCAGAATCGTGACAGCCATCCATACCACAAACTGATGGCGGAGTAGGCTCTCTTTCTACTACAGTTAACGACTACAATGCAGCAGAAAGGTGGTATGGTCAAGCATTCCTAATCTGTTCCATGTTTGCTAACACGTAAGACAACTTTTAATATCTCAGAGCTGCACAAAACTCAAGACAGATGATCCATCAATACAAGCAATTTCAGGAACTGTGCTTTGTTTTATTATATTTGGAACTCACATGAGAGTAACTGAAAATACCCTAGCAGAGCACCAAGTTTTAACACCATGTGTGTCATCTGGGATTAGTCAACAACACACACACCAACACACAAAGCAGTACTTGAGTAAAATGATACACACTAGCTTTGTTGGCAAGACTTTATTCTCACATTCAGTTTATACTACTAAAGCTATACTGAAAAATCTCTGAAATGTTTTTCTCATTGGGTGCAGTCATTTCTAAATCCCACCCATCATTCACCTGAAATTGTGATTACTTTTGTCAGCCTACCTTTACTCCTTGAATTAGACCATTCATCAGAAATGTGTGTTTTGGGAAGGTTTCGTGCAAAACCTGAAGAAGAAATTTGAACACTGTTGTTTACACAATACTAGCGATAAATATTGCTCATCATGCACCCACTTTCTATAGCATGGCACGCCCACAGCATTTTCTGTTTTCATGGATTATAGAGAGAGATTTTAAACTGCAAGGCAGCCAAAATTATGCAAAATTAATCCACACTAAGGAAAATCAACTCAGTAACCATTATTATCAGGTTCACTATCCAACATCTTAGTTACGAGATATTATTGAAATTACACAGAAAGAATACTCCAAATACATTACACCAGTCACCTCAGATAAGCACAATTTACTGAAGGGGGGAAATAGCTAAATAGCCTCCATCACCATTATTGCTTTGCAAGGAACAGCAGGGTAAGCACAGTGACAAAAGTGGCCTTTGGGATACTCTGTGGATATTCTCTGTGCGTTACTGAGAAGTGTTAAATACAGTGGAGCCTCCCCCTCAGCAACAGGCATGGTCTATCTGCATTCTTTTAGCTGTAAAATACCAAAGTGTGCATTTTTTTCCTGTACTCTGACTTTGAGGTTTTAGCTTTACTTGAGAGAAGCTTCAGTTCTTTCACACTTTGGGAAGCACGCATTTCAGCCAGGCTCAATAGCTGAAAACTAAACAGAGTACTGCACAGAAAACCTGGAAACTTATTTCAGCTGGAATTCTCTCACACTACTGCTGACTGTGGGCGGATGCACAGGCAGAGGACAACACCATTCTCAAGTGTCTCTCCCAGGTCAGAGACTACAGCTGAGGCAGGCTGGTTAAACAGGCACTGATCTCCAGTCTACTTGTGTTACCCAAGATGGTTTCCATTCAGTGGTTGACAAAAAGTTTGTATCCAACAGACTAGTCATGGTTACCAGCAGCTCACAGAACTGCACCAAGATTGCATTTTAAGAGGGATTTGCTTGGAGATCTGTAATCTTTGTTCCATCTAATTAGTAAATATGTGTCACCTAACAGACCAAATCCGAACAGAGCAACCAACTACATTAGAAAAGAATTTGATACAAACATGCTGCTGTGAATGTTTTCACTAGTCACAGGGAGGCTCCAAAGCTCGTTTAAAGCACAGCTATGTCAGCCAAGAGCTCCCTATACACACACACACACCCCTGCAGAATTTTACCAAATTTCAAGTTGTTTTGTCCTTTAGCTTCCAGCGTGCCCATGTCTTGTAGCCCCTTTCATTGCTGTCCTTCATGTTTTGAGTCAGAAAGCATTTACAAGCGTTATCAGAGTTCCACATAAACATCTGTCACAGTGTTATATTGCTTTAATTAAATAATTTTGGATTTCTGACTTTATATAGAAATCAAAGAACTCTTTTCATATGCATAACAGAGCAGCTCGATGATGCACAATTTTCATTTAATTCAGGCATTTGAAGCCTTTCAGTAATACCCAGTAATACCCAGCAAGAAGGAACTTAAGCACATCACTTACCACCAGAGTGGGCGCTGTCAGGAGTCCCCAAGCAAAAAACTCCAAAAATATCACTATCACAGCGTGGTAGACACTGGGTGAGCCTATTCCTTGAGGCTAAAACAAGAGGAAAAGCAGGACATTAAAGCATCTGAGTAACTGTCATAGTAACAACAAATGCATCTGAGCACTGTAAACAGAAGGGTTAAGAAATGAAACGGAACTCAAAACATCTCAGAGGAGCTGCTCAACCTAATGTGCTGAAGTGCCTGAATGCTTTGTGGAGTACAAAGTGCACTCTCATCTCAAAGAGAAAAATGAAGCACTTACACTGTCAGTCTGGAAAACAAGGCTGCTACTGAAAGCAGAAACACTCTTTGAAGGACTGCATTTTTTTCTTCCTTGAGAAAAACATTTGAGCCCACGCAATGCTGCACGGAAATGAAATTTTTATAACTTCAGAACAAAGCAGTATCCTCATTCAGCTACACCAACATCTAATCACCTACTGTGCCAACCAGCATGGGGCATTTCTGTTAATAAAACACACCACGGCCAAGTGCTAAACCTTGATAACTTTGAATCAAGAAAGAAACTGACACAGTGGCTGCCAGAAGCAAATCTCAGGGACAGAACTGATAGTTTTCCAAATACCGCTAGTAATGGGCTTCAAATGTAGGAAGAGGTCTGAAAAATGGGTTTAAAATAAGAAACTTCAAATTCCTTGGTGATTTGATATAATTAGAAGCAGCTCTGGATGAGAAAAAGAAGCGTGTGGGAGGGAAAACCTGCTCATCTCATATATTCTAAAACACTAACTTGTCAAACAAAATTCTGCATTGCAAATTGAGAAAACAGTGCACTACATATTTTTATAAGAATTTAGTATAAATAACTCATCAGAAATGTTGAATGTGCTGTATAACCTTAAAATGCAGCCTCAGCATCCACTGTCCCAGCTTCACGTAAAGATGTGTCGCCAGCAGTGGCACTGACTTGATGAGACCCAGCACTGCTACAGAGCAAACAGCCCAAAGTCCTTGGCTCCTTTCTCTAGGAGGCTGAGGGGGACCTCAGCAACACATATGGATGTCCGACGGGAGGAAGGAAAGGTGACACACCCTGGTGTTGTCATATATGCTCAGTGACAAGACTGGAGGCACAAACTAAAATACAGGCAATTGGACTTAAACTTGACACCAAGTGGAAGCAGGTCACCTAGTGAGGTTGTGGAATCCCTGTCCCCACAGCACAGGTGGACACAGCCCAGCACACACTGCTCCAGTGACCCTGGCTGCAGGAAGTGGGGGGCAGGTGGATTAGAAATCATCGGAGGTGCCTTCCAACCTCAGGTGCTGTACAATTTTAAGGTCCAGCTAGGTAACATTAGAGTCTTTCATTACAAAATGTACGTAAGTTGTATCCAGCTTTTCTATCTGGATTCCAATTTATCTCAACAGAAAAAATATAAGCCTTCTAAACAACTGCAGGAAATAAACACAGAAAACCACCGTTCAGCCCTACAGCTAAATCACAGTTTTTTTTAAAAGTAACTCTATCAGTACTCTAAAGGTAAGCTGGAAAAGGCCCTTCATATTGTGCCATTTTTCTTTCCCAAACCCTGTTCAGTAAGTGCTCACCCAGATCTCTGCTATTTTTTCAGTCTTATTCTCTTACTGCACTAAATTAAGTCTTCATAGGTACAGAAAGTGGCTATAATTACCTTGACTTCCCACCATTCCTTGCCCTTTCCACCCACAATCTTTATTTCAGTTTTGGATTAAAATTTTATGCGGCTCTGCAGAAACCATAAGAAACAATCTCAGCTGGGTGCCTCAGCCTGCTACAAGAAATCAGGTTCACTCTCATCTTCCCTAGACTGCTTTCAAATTGCCACACCAGCTACCATGCTGGGGTGGCAGCAGTGCTGTAACAAACCACCACCTGACCTTCCAAGTACCACAGGTCAGACCTATTCCCATTCTGTCAAAGCAGTGCCCATCACACGTTGCCATTACGGTGGCAGAAGCAAAAATCCAGTGGCATCAAGATCACTGAGTTAAACTGCCTTTCTTTTCTATCGCCAGTGCCCACTTCTCACAGGTACTGTTAGTAGTTCTTATCTACAACACCAGATGCAATCTAATCACACCTAACTGAGGTGTAACTCTTAATTCATCTAATGAGTACTTAAAAAATACATAATCTTATCCTAGGTGAATTCCAGTAGGTCGTAAAGAAAGGCAAAATTATGAATAGCAAGGAACCCACACAACTGATGTTACCACCTCTCCTTTTGGTCAGCCTGACCACAAACACCACTGCACGCTGCTTTCTGTGATACAGCTACTAAACTGCAAAGAGTAATACAAAAATACCAGTTTTAAAATAGCAGTTCTATGGGATACTGCTGGCACAGTCATCCTTGTCAAATTGTAACAGCGAGATTCTGAAACTATTTACTTATAACAGTGGTCAGCCACAGTGTGCTTCCTCCATGAACTTTTATATAATTCATGATGAAGGGAAACAAATCTAATTACCATCACCACAAGCTTAATACTTCAGGAAGAACCATCCTATGCCAAGTACCAAGATGCTGAACGTGCTACTAGCTCCAGCCAGGGCTCAGGACAGAAGCACAAGGCCCAGGGCCGCCTCCACGCCAGGTGCAGGCATCCAACCAGGCTGGCAGGGTTGCTGGCAGCAGGCTGAGCTCTGTGAGAGTGGGCAGGGAGACACGCTGTGTGCCAGGAGCACATCACCCAGAGCCCGTGGTGCCTGAACTAGCTGAGTTTACAAAGTCTCTGTATAAGCAATAAGGTGGTGAACACCAAAACACAGGAATAATCAAACATACACCCAAACCTGCCCATGCCAGGAGAGACAAAAGGGGCAGAATCAGCAGGATGGAGAGGCTGGGGGCTCTGGTCTGCACAGAGGCCAGAGCACAACCAATGAGACCACGAGCAGCACACAAGCTGCCCCAGCCTGCAGTGCTCAGCACTTCGCTGCATGACCCTGCTTAACTGTAGAGCTGGGAGAGGCTCCACAGGGCACTAAGTGGATTCTTCTTCCCCTTTTGCTTTTTTTTTTTTTTTAATCTCTCTCTTTGAACATCAAGATCAGTAAACAGAAGTTACAATAAATTAAGTTCCTCATCAATAAACTATTTACCCTATGACAGTGCTTTATTAGGCAGCTGCATCCCCTTGCAGGCAAAAGTCACTGAGTTTTCTTTGATGTGAAACGGCTTGAAAATAAACCAGTGAGGCTGGAAACTGTTCACTCAGATGCTAGATTAATGACTGGTTTGCTAACCGCACACGTTCAAGACACAAGCCCTTTTCATTTACCTGTTTCCCATCGTGTCCCATAGCACGTTGGGCAGACAAAGAAACCAGGAAGACTGGGCACGGAGGACCTGACAGGATGTTCCAGCACTGAGCAACAGTGGCAATCCAGGCATATTAAGTTCGTGCTGGCATTATAAGGATGTTATACCAGGTAGCTTGAAAGTTTTGAAAACATAAAACCCTTTCTGTCTCTTGGCAAATATTAGTTGAACGATGAAGGGCGCTTCGAAACACACTGTATTTTCATCAGCAATTGATGGTTCCAGAGAGAATTCACTCCGAAGCGCATTGTTACGTAACAACCAGCCCCCTGCTCGTTCCAAAAGGCCATCCACTAGCACACGTGCCACGCCAGCACCAGCCCTCACTCCATCACTTCACGCAGAGTTCGAGGAGGCCCCCGGAGGCCGACACGTCCCCGCGTTAAAGTCTTTCTTGAAATAAAAACACTGCGTTAGAAGGGCACGCATCCAATCTACAGTACTGCACGGCAGAAAAAAAAGACCCACAGGCGACGTGTCGTCAGCAACCACTGACAGATCAAATCAAAGATCGGGCTCCAGCTGCCAAAACGGATGACAGGCCCCTAGAGCCGAGCGCCCGAATAAAGACCGGCACACGGGAGGAGGGCGGGCCGTCGGAGGAGCGGCGGCGCAGCCCGGCACCCACTGCTCCGGAGCTCCGGCCGCTCCCTCACAGTACGGAACATGCCGCCCAGCCTCATGCCGCCCCGGCCCCACTCGGCTTCCGCGCGCTCAGCCGCGCGGCGCGACAACCGCAGGTGTAGCGTTTCCTCCCAGCTCCCGATACGCCGTGCTCAGCGCGCCTGTCGCGACTCCGCGCCACGACTCGCCGCCGTTCCTCGCGCCGAGGCCGCACTGCGAGAAGCGCAGCGCGAACCAAGAGCGGGGCTGGGTGCCGTCCCGCCGCACGGCGGTTCCGACCGAGGCTCGAAGCCCGCAGGCCGCCCCGCGCCGCCACCTCCCGTCAGCCTGCCTGCCTCTCCCCCCCCCCCGCCCTCCGGCCCCGCCCGGCCTCACCGTCCCTCCGTCCTTAATGATGATCTTTTTGGCCAGCATGATGCTGCGGTTCACGGCGCGTTTCTTCTTCTTCCCCCCCTGGGTCATTTTACCATCCTCCCCGGGAGGGAGCGGGGGCAGCGCGGACCCTCCCCACAGCCGGGCCTGCCCGTCCCTCCCGCGCGGCCGCCGCCACCCCTCAGGCACGTTCCGCCATCTTGGCCGGCCGCCCCGACGCAGCCGCCGGCCGCCGCGCATCACGCGATCGCCCCATTGGTCGGCACCGATCACGTGAGCGGGGCGCGCCGTCTCGGCTGAGGCGCTCGGAGCCGCACGCAAGCGCCGCGTCCCGGCCGTCGCCGCCCCGCCGCTGCGGCCTTCCGCGCCTCCCGGCGGCGCCGACGCTCGCACGCAACGCCTCGGCGTCGCCTCCCTCTCCCAGCCCCGGCTGCCTCTGCCTCCAGGAGGCCCCGGGGCCCAGCTCCGGGAGCCCGAGGAAAAGGAGCCACCGAAGGTGGTTCTCAGATATGCCCGTCAGGTGTGCTTGGACGCTTCGAGGGCCACAGGATGGAACCAGAGATAACCCGTTTTACAAACCCGACTGCAGGCATTCTGCATTCTCACTGTCAAGTCCTTAACTCTGCTTACGAATGATTTAATAACTGTAAATCAGCAGGCCATCTCGGGCTCCAGCTTAGCACGCTGCCAGCACGGAGTGGGCAGGGCTTGGCCTCCACAGGGCGATACGGCCGCTGCTGGAGAACATCGTTGAGAAACACCTACTGCTATTCTTTACAGCATTTACTGGTCCGTAGCTCATCTACCTGCTTGTGCCCGATAGCACAAACACAGCACTGCCTACACTGACTCTGCTACAGGCACACACCCAGGCGCAGCTCTCTGCGGCGCCTCTGTCCCCATACCAGTGTTTCTCCGTGTTCTTCCACAGAGCGCTTTCTCCACTCAGTCCTCCATCTTCCATCCCTATTTCCACATACTGCTGTATCCCCAGCTCCTACAACAGCCTGGTTCCTCTCACAACCATGTTCTTACACTCCCCATCCCCATCACAGCGGCTGCGATGCTGACTGCCACTCAGCACAGCCCCGCACTGTCCCTCAGGTACAGCACGGCAGTGTTAGCAAAGGGCTGCAAATCACCTGCCACCTAAGTTCATCTGGGCTTAAGACAAACCATTAGCCTTAAGATAAAGCATCATGCAGCTTTTATCTTGGTATGCCATGAGGCAAAGCCCTCCTCAGAACCACGGATTTATTCTGGTCTCACACGGAGACACAGGCAAGCAGCAATTCAGATCAAGATACACAGAGAAGACTTACTAGTCCACCACGGAGAGACTGCTATTATCAGACATTTGTTACACGTCTTAATTAAATTATGTTAAGTATGCGACCATTCTGTAGAAAAATCCCATGCTCCATGGTTCACTCCGTAGGGACCTAAGATTTTGGCATGGTTTCAAGGCGGCTCCTCAAAAAGAGTGCTGCCAATTTTGGTGGGCAAGTCACATGCAAACACATCATATGGAGGAAATTAAAGGTTAAGAAGGTTACCACAACTAGATGGCAGCATAGACATTTTGTGACTACACTGATTAAGCAGCTGTTTTTTCGTTCATACATGTTATTAGACCATCCTCTGTTATCCATATCATTACCCAAAAAATAAAATAAAAACCACCAAGTTTGCTTGGTGTAGACTGACCAGGTGACTTTAGAGAGAATTCCTAGATTTAGAATAAGCTTCAGATAAATACAACTTGCTTTTGTAGTTGTGAATCACAGCCAGACACATACCTTCAAACTGCTAACTTCACTTTCCTATGTAAGTCCTGACACAACTCGCTCTACCATGGATTAACTGAGACAAACTCCTGACAGACATTTAGTTTCCTGAAGAAAAGAAGCAAGAGTTTTGACTGTTACATCCAAACACCTGCACTGTACTGTTCAACCTTTCACACGAAGTATAAAACTGCTGGAAACACTATATATTAGAATTGTATTCAGTGTAGTTACACACTGATCAACATACAAAAAAAATCCTAACTCTAGCTTAAAAATTTTGCCACAAAGTCTGAATACACGATTTATATTTGGGCTCATATATTTAAAACTTTGCTTAAAATACATTGACAGGAAAGAAAACTTCAGAAAGCTAATAGAAGAGTTACTTACAACAACAAAAATGTTTAGCACATAAGCGATTCTTACTCAGCCATCAATTGCCAAGGAAATGAGAATGGAAGACTACAGGCACAAATCAAAAATATCATGGCCAAATTTTACTCCTGGATGCAAATATTTAGCAGCCAGTCAAGAACGAACACTGACCTGCAGACTTTTTTTGCTCCTGCAGTTATAAATTCACCTAGCAGGAAATAATTAGGTAAAGGTATAAATTTAACTGAACAGGAAATTTGGATTCACAGTAACCTGATCAGAAGTTATCATCTAATTTGTCCCATTTATCTTCTTGCATTTTTTCCAGTAAAAAAACCCTCATTCTACATACCTAAAAGTATATAATGAGCTCACCTGGAAAGAGAAGAACTCTTTAGTTCAAATAACTTCCTGTAGGGAAAAAAAAAAAAAAAAAATCAGCATTAAAAATGCACAGCACAATAAAAGCAGAAGTAAGGGTACACTTGGATTTTCTTACGCTCCCAGAGATGTGGTGGCACACACTATAGGTAAACACACCTGTCTGTGTGCACACACAGCTAACCTGTTAAAATAATCTCATTCTTACAAAAGGAAGGAAACAATCATCTGCCTCCCTCATAATATCCAGCAAGAAACACACAGCGAGTAACAACTTCAAATCTGTAAGTGACAACTGCTTATATACAACACAACACACACGGTGATACGGAAATATATTAAAAGATGAAAGTTGCTGACAATAAAAACCATAAGAAATGCAAAGTCTCATTTATCAATATTAAAACAGTTCAACAAAATCCATTACAGTCTCTCGATTTAGAGCCATAAAACTTAGTCAGGAACACAAAACAATAATATGATCTTAAAAATCTGAAAAAGGACCACATGAATAACTGAAACATAAGTATATGCTAACAAAATATAATCATTTCTTTGAGAAAAAAAGTAAAACAAATGTCTTAAAAAGTTATAGTATAAACAGGTATTATTTTGTACAAGCAGGAAATAGAACACGAATCTACCTTTTATTATTACAGCAAACAAAGAAGTAACTTATGTTGCAGTTTGTCTAAAGCAAAGAACTTTCATAAAGCTATACAGTTATCAGAATTCCTTGAGAAAGAGATAACTGGGCACTTGTGGACAGCACAAAATTACAATGGAAAATATTACAAAAGGAAAGTTTATCTTACCATGTTAGATTTAAGAGTTTTCACCACTGAACTGATGATTTATTTTGCTTTGAGGAGAGTTCTAATAGCTGACTGGTATTTCACCATTTATCAGGTATCCCAGAGATTAAAACAAACAAACAACCCTACTAAGCATCCAAGAATTCAATAAATACTGGTAATCCCATTATGTAAGCCTTTAAAAAATGACATAATTCAAATTATGCAAATAAATACCTCGTTATAACATTATAAATATTTAAATAAAATTCTGTTGAGTATGGATTAGCCTCCTAAATATACAACTAAACTAAAAAATCCATTGTGTTAAAATCAGAAATATAGATCAGAAGGACAAGATCATTTTTGGAATGTTATACTCCTACAGACCACTTTTAGGGCAGACTCAAAGCACGCTACTCCCTGCTTCCCAGAGCTCTGTGCCAACCAGCTAAGTTTCTTTGGTTAGTTAATGAACGACAGAAGTAAAACTTCTTTTTCCTCAGATCCAAAAGTACCCCAAAGGGAAACCGCACTTATGCTCTCAGATTGATTGATTTCTGTAGCAGTTGCAACCTTCCTCAAATCTTTCACCATCACAAGAAGCATGCAGAGCCTTCCCTCTCTCCAGAATAATGCTTTTCAGCCTGCAGGGCCCTCAGGCTCTGTAAACAGCTGAGGAAAGGCAGCTAAAACTGCAAACTCTTATCTCCTTTACAGTCACAAACATATAAAGAGATTTACCCTTCTGCTAGGAAATTTAATGGACTGGAAATTGACAGTTCTTGATCTACAGACAGAAATTACTGATCCCTAATACAGTACATACATTGTTTTCCAAGGCTGTAAGATGACATCCTATTCAAAAGCAAAGATCACATATTCCTGTTACTTCCTAAAAGCTAATGCTTAAAGACAAACTTGATGCACCTGATATATTAAAACTGTGTAATCGTTTGGCCTATTTGATCCCTTTCTATGCAATTGGTTTTACATTCTGAATTTGCTTCTCCTCACTCTTGAGAAACTCCTCAACAAAGTATCCAGTTATATGACCTGAACATTTCCATTACTGTGATTTGTGCTTCATGAAATTAAAAGTATCATCGCTGCGTAGGCCAAATATTACTACACTTGTCAGATTGTTTTGGTCACACATACCTCCCATCCTGCACCAAGCAATGCTCTGCATACATCTGACCTCACGTTGCACTTCAGTGGTGACAGGACTAAATGTCATTTTTC